AATATCACACTCCCCACACGAGGCCAGAGATAACTACATTTGGCAGGATATAAACCAGAACTCTAATACATTCACAATATTATTTGTATTTCTAAGACATATTTGCAAGAGCGCTTTCAACTCCCGCTGTTGAAAGAATAGACAAGAATCTCATACTTTGACTTAATATTACAGATCAACTGGGGATAAATCTACTTGGTGTTTAAATATGCAAGATATAATTTAAGACATGGTCTTATGAACAATTTAGTGCAACAATGGACTTCTCTGTAACAAGTAACAATAAAAATGAACAAAACCCCGTCAATCTAAACGATGACCGTGACGTGACTCAATGATTCTCTACGCCCTTGGCTGAAATGTTGATTGGTATTTGACAGCTTTCTTGAGTTATGCCTGGATTATTTTACTGCCAATAAACTTTGCTCACCTGCTGTTCAGTTTCTAAAGAACGAATCCTTTTCCTGTCTACTTGAAAATCATCCTTTTCACTGTCACATAGAGATAACCTTTTTTTGGCAGACAATTTCGAAGCCAGTGTTTCGTTTTCCTTACATTCTGTAATTAAAAATACAATAAAATAAAAGGTGTGTCCACTACTAGGAATGCATTAAATAAGGGGAACATTTTAAAGATAGAATTTCCTATAAATACAGATGATGTAGGAAACAGGATTAGACATTTCTAGACTGTCAACCACCATTTTCATACAGATTTCCATGCAGGGCAGAATCATGTAGTACTTTCCTATTATGATGGTAAAAAAGGTCCCTGACTTGAAAGCAAAAATATTACATCACTGGCTACATATTTTACTTCCAGAACAGATTTTTAGCTGCCTATGTACAAAGTTACCTGTGTTTGTTAACAGGTTTCCAGGTTTTAGGGAACTTCCCAGTTCAGAATTATTAAAAGAACATGAAGCACCATGATGCACACTTGTTGCAGCCTCGTTGCTCTTAGATTGGGAATGACACATGCAGCGACACGGTGGTGAGGGCTCTGGCTTTCTGTCTTCCTTTTCACATGATGATGTAAGCAGTGATTTCTCTGAAAGACACAGTCATTTGTCTTCCATTAAAAACTACTCAAGACTATACATGAGAACTAAGACTTTCCAAACAGTGAAGATGAAAGATTTTGTTTAGGTCCAGCCATAAACCTCGTGCCTCTACAAAACCTGAACAAGCTACTATAACCCTCTGAAGAACTGCAGTGCAAAGAACCGTAACAAGTTGCAGAACTGAAAAATACCCCTCTTTTTCAATTCAGTTGCATAACTAAAATCCACAAGTATTTTCTTTCAAAGCTCCAACAGCCATGTAATTCCCTTATGATAACAGATAAACCCAGGTTAGTATTACTGGCTATTACCATTTTATATTGCTAATAAACAATATGTATAATGGTGGACAAAGACCTGGCTAGATTCCTGAAACTGAATGTTTAAAGGCTGGTAAACAACAACAATTCATCATCATATATTTTGGTGATAAAAACTGGGCAAACAGACCCTAAGACAACTTACCACGCAGAGACTGCTGCCATGATAATGCAGAGCAAAGCAGTGCCAAGCTTTTGCCACTTCCTGTAGGACTCTCCAACAAACAGTGCTGCTTGTTATTTAAGCCCTTAACAATCTTTAAGGAGAATAACAAGAATAAAACCAGAATTAATAGGAAAAAAACAAAGAGAATGTCTTTAGCTAACCTAGAAATAACTTCTAAAAATAGACACCTGCTGTCTTGTTAAAAAAACAAACAAACAAAAAACTCCAAACCAAAACCACCTCCTCCCAATCCTGTTTAATAATAAAAACAGGTCAACAAGCCCTAGCTGCATTTCTTTCAAGAGGAACATGCCCGAGTAGCAATGCTCAGAGATTCACTTGCAGGGGGCTGCGAAATACTTTCCTGCTAAGAGCAATACCTGATGGGAATGGCTTGCTTCCTTTAGTCTTATGGAACCAAACACTGAAAACATCTGTCAGACCAAACCATTTGTCCCACAGAGAAAAAGTGGTTAAAAAGGGTTAAAACCGTTTAAATGTAAAGTCTAATAATTCATTTTTAAAAACCCTCCAAGAGGCGAAAACTTATTGAAATATTATGTTCTGTTTAAAATACAGATGTTTTACTAAATCATTCCCTCCTTATATACTTAAGAAATAATATCGTTTGTATTACAGTATATCTAGTTCAATAATCATATGTATTACATGTACTTCAGCACTGCCTAGTCATGGGCCAGAGAGCATCGTACAGCACAGAACAGTAAGTTACAACTGAAATTCTCAGGATACCGAAGGCTCTGAAAACATAAGCTATTCGTTTAGCAAATGCTAATAAATTCTACTTACAGCATTCATCATTGCGAGTTGTGAAGGGTAAGCCTTGCAAGGGAATACAATCTTCACTCCCCCTATAGTATATTCTGACACATCAGAAGACATTGCCACTTTTTCCTCCTGGTTACTCCAGGTTTATAACTGCAATAAAAAACAGTATTAACAAGTCAACACTAACGAACAGGCAGAGCCTGAAACAACATATGGTACCAGCCAAAACCAAGCAAAAACTCCTAACTTGATAAGGGGGCTAAGCAGTTTGGGGTAGTACCAGAACTGGCAGAAAGGAATTTATACCACACACTGTCAGTTTAGGCTCAGTCCTTGCTACACACGAGAGCAAAGTGCCGCCATCCGATGAGTAACATCAACAATTTAAATAAAAGTATGAATGAACTCCACACATCAATTTCAGATTCTATTTCTCACACTAAACATTGTTGGGGTAAGAACCCAAATCCCTGGGGGAAAAAGTATTTTAGGATATTTAATAACTAAAAATAGCCAGGTTTTCAGTTCTGCAGGTCCATTAGCCCGAACCCCAAGACACTGCAAAATACAAAGACACAGAAGACAACTGTCGCCTGTACTGTTCGTTTTATAACAATGAGAAAATAAAACTGAACGCTGACTTTAAATCAACGCTTTTTCTTCCACTACTGATAGAGTAATTATTCAGGGGGAAATGAGGTATCATCCACTTTACTATTCTGCGAGTATTATCTTGCATTTCTCTCACTCTGGATAATTAAAGAAAGTCAGCTTTCCTAACATGCTAAACCACTGAAATTATTGAATTTTTAAAAAATGAAGATGCATAGATGGCTTTAAAAAGAAAAAAATACACTACGTTTTTTACATGGCAGGGTTTTTTTTCTATAGGTTTTCAGCTTCTATAAAAGGAGCCATTTTAAAGTGGCAGATTCCCTGTGGTAAATTATACTCACTAACCTGTGTCTGTCACCTGACTTTTAATGAGTAAACACAAACATCAAAACCACACCAGTGTGTGGCACGATTCGGCTTCACCAGCAACTCCCTCACCAGAAGAAAGAAATCCTAGCGAAAAGAGAGCGCGAACATGACTTTACCTCCTACCAACAACGTAACCGCACCCTAGTAAAATGCTTTTCCCCACACATTCCGGGGGGGTGGCTTAAACGAGCTTTGCCCAAGGGAAAACAACCGCCCGCCGGGGCGATGGGGAGGGCTCGACACCGCCCAGGGGCCCTTCATCCCGGTCCGCCCCGCCCGGCAGC